CATCACCACATTTATTTTCTGTTGGGTTATTGAGTGTAAATTGCGTCTGCTATGACAAGCCTTAAACATACAGAAATAAATTCAAAATACAGGAGAAATGCTCATAAATTTTAATGTTGCATAATAAATAATAAAAAAAAAAAAAAATCTACGTGCCTAAATAAAACATGCCTACCAACTGACACACCCCGCCGCCCACTTTCAGTCTACTTCAATGCAAACGTGCATATCTACGCGTCAACCAGCTGTCCAACTATCCTCCAGAGCACTTAATATATATGTGCATCCTAACTCAAAAACAGCCACAACTCGAAATTTAATTTTTTCCCCATAAAAAAGTTTACGGACCATATTTGTATCGTCCGCCAATATTTCCGCTCATCACTAACTGGGGGAAAAAAAAACGTGCGTAACATCAACAGTTTTCTGCGTTTCCTCAACATTTGGAGTTTTTGAGTTGTGCCGGTTTTTGCTTTAAGGTGCGATATATGTATGTATGCAGTGTGTGTGTGTGCATATTGTTTATTTACTTATTAAATCGCGCTCGTGATAACGCAGCCTATTTGTAAATTTAGTTTAATATTTTCTTTCTTTTCTTTACTTTTAAAGCGTTCACAATTTGTAATCGTGTCTTATTTTTCGTGCTTTAATTATGATGTACTCGCTAATCAGTGTAAACAGCTTTTATTTATACATACTTACCTACAAATGTATGTGTAAAGCTGTTGTCACATGTTTCTACATATGTAATTAAGTTCATACATATAATGATGATATTCTTTATGCAAGTTGGCATACATATATATCTAATAAGATCTAAAAGGAAAGTATTTATCAATGAATCGCCCGACGAAAAGTGAAATGGCTATTTGTAGGTAGTAGTAAGCTCTACTATCGCGACCGTCCAGAGATCTGTCATTGCATTCGTACTCGTAGTAACGAATTCCTATAAGGTTTAGCGCTATTTTTTTCCAAACTATTTGTCGACAAATCAATCGATGGTTATCAAGACGGGTCACAGTGGTACAGCCTCATACATTTCAGGAATACTTATGAACCGATTTATTATTAAAATTTAAATTTTTCCGCCGAAATAACACTGGTAATTAATTAATTGGTAATTTACGCTGGGATCAACTGCAGTTAATTCCGAATAAACGAGCTGATCCAGATCAACGCTGCCGTTTGACTATGCCTTTGCTGAATTAAGCCATAATAAACTGCTCGATATATGTATTTAGTATGAAGAGCACTTTTGAAACAATTTTTTAAGATTTATGCTAGCGCAAGTAAAGATTGGTAATGCCTGAACCTGAAAAAAAAATATGTCGCATTGACTTACTTGGACATAAATATCTCATAAATATCTCGCACGAACGAGACGTCGATTTTAAAATTCGCGCTGGTTCATTGTAAACAAATTAGGTCAACACGTACTGTGTGTTTCTTTTATCTTACGAAAAACGGAGGCAGAAACAAGAAGGCCTTCAAGTACACGTGCTTGTCACATATGTATTACATATTTCCACACGACTTATTTGCTGCTTTTATTCTTATATTAATTTACATCTTATTGTGGAATGGGACATGGTATTTCTGTCAGAGTTTCCATACAACGAAATACAGAGTGGAGTAAAAAAGCCAAGCCAAAGAGCCTACTTATTATCATACAATGTATAAAATGATTAAAAAGTTAAATACAAGTCGTAAATAATGCACAGAAATGTACGCAAAAGATATACATACTTATATAAGTTGTTTTGTTTTTTTCTGAGATGTATGTATGTCTTTTTACAAATAAAATGTTTTTATAAATATATTGTACATTTTATTCATTTACTTAGCCAACAGGGCAGACTGGCAGGCGTGCGTGCAAAGCGACACGAGCGCTTTTTCGCAAATTATCGCCACACTCCCCGCAATGTGCCGCCACTGCCAGCGCCTACCTGCCGGCCGCTCTGACGTCCTCAGACAGAATTGCTTATTGATGTGTGTTTTTAACATTTCGATTGTTTAAATATATAATTTAATGAAAAACGAAACACAATTTTTTTTCTCTTAGCTTGCAAAGCTAATGGCCTTCGTTGCTATACTAAGTATGTAGTATTTAACAACCAATACATTTATAAAAAAGCAAAAAAAAAGTAATTTAAGTAATCTGTTTTAAAAATTGCTTTATTGAAGTACATACGTACATACATATGTACATAAGCACATATGTGAAATTTCATATCAATGTCCGCCGTTTCTCACACAAGCACATTAACTGAGTCATCTAATTTTATGTTTGGGGTAGACAAAAAATTATTTGATTCTTAACAGTGCGCGTGTACGTGCATGCGTATGTACACTAGGTTGGTCCAGAAATGCATGTGAAAAAGTAAAGTCTGAATAAAAAATCGTTAGTATTAAAAAATGGGATTACTATTGAAAATCTCCTGAAGATAATGTGAGTTTTCCGATCGAAAAATATTGATTTAAAAAAATTTTATACCATTTCTACGAAACACATTTTTTCTCCATATAAAATACAAAGAAAACTTTGAGCGCTTTGAGCGACCTCCAAATATTTTTTTTTTTGATTTCAAAATAAAAAAGAGGGGTATACTTTTTACGATATAGAACAATCCTTGGGGGGGGTGATAGCAACAAAATTCCGACTTTACTTTTTTTTGACGACCCTAATGTACACACTTATGTATGTACAGTTAAATTTGTTGTTTAAAACTGGGTTAAGTTTGATAAGGTGTGTTGATAAGGTATTGTTTAATCGATAGAAAATAATTTGAAATATGTTAAAATAAATAAAAATGATTGGATGTTGAGAAACGAACTCTATACGGAGGCCATGTGCGCTAAGTATGCTACGTGTGCGTGAGTATTTTGCCTTGCACTGTTATACATAAATGTATGTACATAAATAATCTCAAATATTTCGTATGTGAGGCCTGCGGGATACAAAGTTTTCCACCTGTTAAAAAATTGAACTCAAATTATTTAATCAATCAAATGAATTTTTGAAATATGGGTATCAATCGAAAGGGTTTTGAAATGCTTTCTTTGTAAGCCATCTTTTTAAAAGTCAAATTCAACGTGAATTAAGGAAATTATCACACATAGATCGGAAGGTTTTAGTTTGAAAATATTTTTAAAAGGGTTGCCACCCATTTAAGAAGTCGATTTTAATTAAAGTTAAGTATAATATATAATAAAATATGGTTGTCAAACGTGAGAATGTTAATAAATGCTTAGCTTGAATGTTAAGAATATGTTTAGGGTGTTTGAAGAGGGTTGCCACATGTTTAAAAAATTAAGTTCAAGTTATTTAATAAGTTAAATTATTTATTAAAGGGTGGCTGTCAATTGAGATGGGTTTAAAAAGGCTTTATTTCTTAACTATATATAAGAGGGTTGCCACCTGTTTAGAAAGTCAAATTTATTTAAATTATGCACAAGTTATATGAAATATCTAAATATGAGTGTGAAACGAAATATTTTCGATTAGGGTTGCCGCTTACTCGAAAATTTAATATTTATGTAAATATCTATATATTTACATACTGTGTATGTATATCATCATATCTGAACCGTGCGTGCAATTGTCAAAATGAGGGGCCAAATTAAAGGGCTTTAGATATGCAAAATGTTGTTATTTTTTGAAGCTATAGCTTTTTCTATATTTTCTAGGTTTTTTTAAAGGGGATTGCCACCTATTTAAAAAGAGGTCTAAAATTTGAATATATTTTTGAGGAAGGGTTGCCACCTGTTTCAAAAGTCGAATTTAAATAAATTTTACATCATTTATGTGAAGTATTTCAATATTTTTGTCCAACAAAAAACATTTAAAGAAAGCTTTAGTTTAAAAGTATTACACTAAATGAAAATGAAACATTTTTAGAAGAGCTGAAAAGTTTTCGATTGAAAAAAATAGTAATACAGGTATGCTAAATTTTACAATGCAGGATAGTTTCTTACATGAAATCATAATGGCTATTTACTTGCATGAGTTCAGGTTTATTCAATGAATTTTTTCCTACCGACCTTCAAATGACCTCGAACATGACGTTATGGGATATAGAGGTTTGGTTCAAGTAGTTGCAGATTTTTTTTTTAACCTGTGTTATTTATAAAAATATAGTTCACTATATGATATAAATCATATAAATCAAAATTTCACACTTTATATTAACTTCACAAAAATTCAAAAAAATTCCATCAAATATTTTAACTTTTCATTCAGAATTTTTAGAAAGTTTTCGAGTAAACAGTTTTGTATTCAATTTTAGTCTAAAAATCTTTGCGAATCTCTTCTAAATATTGGTTTTTATTGAACACTTAAACTAATTTGTTGATGTAGTACACAGGGGGCAAAAAGTATTGGCTCAGAAAATTTTTCACAATATGTATATGCAAACATTTTTTCTCTAATATTTTTCCGCCAATTTTTTATAAAAATGTGTAGAATGAACCATATTTAAAAAAAAATGGCGGAAAAATCTTAGACAAAAAAACGTTTGCATAGTATATTGTGAAAAATTTGCTGTGCCAATACTTTTTGCTAGCAGCGTAGGTCCTTATTGAGTAATCTGCCGACTTTTGTACACAGCTGAATTTCGAAAGAAAATTATTAGATAAGTTAAGGCCTTTCTGCATTAAGATACAGATAGGTATTTTTTACTTAATTTTATTGTATTGCATTGCATTTTTTTTTAATTTTACTACAATGAATTCCACTGCCAATTCATATGTATGTACGTATTCGCAATAAAAAGAAAATGTTCGAAAAACAAGTGAAAATACTTACGTTTCTACCTTAACTTATTTATATCCATATCTACAAATGTATGTACATACATACGTAAATACATAAATACATAATAGCGGCTAACAGACTCGACACACACAGTGAGAAACAGAGAAAGAGGGAGAGTGTATTCGTACAAACGAAACAAATAATCACAAACAATTTTATGTTGTCTACAACTTTGACTTACTTACAGGTCGTTCAACTGTCACTTTGACAACTGCAGCACGTACAACTTTAGATGCAACAACAAAAACACGAATCATAGTTGAAGTATTCGTAGAAATAACAGAATCAACAAAAATCGTGGCAGATTACAATATCGACGAACTGCATTGGCAGTGGCAACCGCAAAAAAGGCGAGCGAGAGCAGTGAAATAAACATTGTTGTAGCTGCTGTTATTGAATAGCAATACCAATGCATGCAACCCACCACATGGTGCACTTATAACAGCAGAAGCAACCAACTGCAGCAACGCAACAGGAGAAACCAAGAGCGACGGCAGCAAAGCCAGCAGCGACGACATTAAAGTCAACTGCGGCATTGGCAATAATATAGCGACGCGGCCAACATAGTAGTCGTATTTGCTACGAGTGGTGTGACAAATGCAATAAAGCGAGTGCAACCGCAAGCTGAAAAACAAAAAAAAAAACAAAATTAAATAAAAAAAAATTGTGCAAGTGTCCATTTCAACAACCACACGACACGACAGTGTGCATTCGTGCAGTCCACTTTACATTACATTTGTGAGCCTATGCTTTCCAAGTACTCATAGAAAACGGACAGCGGAAGTGAGCGAACGAATATAAACAGTGAAGTAACTGAGAAGTACTCGTAGTAGTGAGAGCGCAAGCACTGCAACGGCAACGCTAACTACCTAAACCGTTGGTGGGGTATTGAGGCTCCACAACAACACTTATCACAGCCGTATTTGTTAGTGTATGGTGCTTTTGAAATCGGATGCCGGCTATTCGACCTGATTTTTTCTTACAGTTCACTCGTTCGCTGGTTCGTTGTCATTTGTGATAACGAGTGGGCGGGCGACTGCAACAACAACACAACGTTCACGGCGTAGGAGCAGCAACAAAAAAAAAAAAAAACTATTTGCTCTGCTGCAGCAATTAATGAGCAACTCTTTTTTTGTTGTGCAAATGCATAGCAGCGATTTTTGTGTTAAACTCAACAACAACAACTACAACAACAATTGCAATTGCAAAAGTGTAAAAGTAAATTGCAAGGTGACCGACATTGGCCGTCACCCTGTCAGCAACTGCTGATTTGAAGTATTGAAACATAAAACGTGTTTTATATCATTTGAGTTAAATTTAACTGTAAGCAAACAACAATAACAATATGTGACTTTAAGCAGCAAAGAAAAAAACATAAAAAAAAAAAACAAAAACTTCTAAATCAAACAAAAACTAAGCCCAGACAAAACGTGATTGCAATTTGTGATTTTATAAGCTCATAACTTCGCCCGTATTTGTAGGCTGCAAAAAAAAATTAAGTTTTTTAATGCAATCTTTAAACTCCACTGCATAGTGTGATTTCATAATTTTTGCTGTGAAATTTTTTTAATAATTTAACAAAGTTAAATATAATACGTAATCATTCAAAAAGAAAATCTAAGTTACTTAGAAATATTAAATAAAAATCCAAATATATACTCGTATATAAAACAACAACAAAATAAATACGAATATCAATAGCAATACACTCATCTAAATATGCATGGCATAACGCATTTATATCGACAGCATGCTGTCGAAAAACAGCTGAGCGCAGATAGTGCCTGCTCCAGCCATCATGCGCACCACAACAACCATTCACCTTTTGGCGCTCGCAATAGTTATCCGCGTGACAGCATTAGCTACGACGACAGCAACGATTCGTGCAGCAATAATGGCACAACGAATCGCTTGCATAGCGTTGACTCGGGCAGCAGTTCGGGTTCGTCGACCAACTCCAAATCGCCAAATTGGTCGCAGGGTAAGTGAAATACTGCAGAGCGGCAGGAATGGATCGGAGCAAGATTACAAGCTAGGCAGAAGCTTGGTAATGTTAGGTGTTTTCTTCCTCGGACTTTATTTTTAGGTCCAATCCACGATTGAGAGAATACAAAGGTTGCGCCGATCTCGGACCGCTATTCCTCTCTTAACGAATTTGACAGAATCTTTGTTTGCATGACGTCACACTTGTGCAACTTGTTTACGTTTTCCTTGCAACATTTTTTCTTCTTCCATTCTTGCTCACATTTTGGCATTTCACTCTCGCAATTGCACAAGTGTGACGTCACACAAAAGTTATTCTCAAAAATCCTCTCTGATCGGCGCAATCTTGTATTCTATCATTCTTGGGTCCAATCCCGTGGTCCTCGGACTAAGCCTCGTAAAGCTGTAAAAAAATAAAAATTCGGCCAGAGTGAGAAAGTAACACTAAAAGTATGGGATCGCTTTCTATTAAAAATTTCAATCAATATCATGGTGCACTCCTTCCACGGAAATCTAAAAATTCAAAACAAAATTTTTAGGGATCGCTCCCAGAATTTGAAACAATTTTTTTTTTCCTAATTCGGAACAATTCAACAAAATTTTGTCGTAAAATATCAACATCATGGAGTACACCATGATAAAAATATAGTAAGGTAGAACCGCTGAGAGTTACTTTTAAAATTCTTGACGTTTCCAAACATTTTAATTTTTAAATTTACTCACAAACTCACACACACATTTTCATTTTCAATCTCAAGCAACAACAATTTCGAACAATTTAAATTTTTTTGATTTTAAAATGCTGGCAAACTTCAAAAAGAAATCATGGCCGACAAAATGAGAGAACGGTTCTACCTTGCTATGTTTTTATCATGGAGTACACTTTTGTTTTATTGAAAAAAATTATTTAAAATTTTGACATTTTCTAGGGATGCTCCATACAAAATTTAGTTTACTTGCAGACCTTAACTTAAAAAGTCATATTATTTAAAAATAATAAAATATTGGCGTGGAATATTTTTATACAGTATTCTTAATGAATACATATATTCATGTATGTAACAAACTTAGAACAAATTTCGTGTGTGTCAATAAAAATTGTAAAATTGAAATTTTTGTTTCGTAAATTATAGCCATTGGATAAGCAATGAAATTTTTTTTTTTCATATGGTGGCACACTAGTTTCATTACTCTAGATTGGTTCGCTTTGGCAAGAAGGAGATTGTCACCGTTTAATGTTAAAATTTTGATGTAACTTAGGTTTTTAAACGGGAAAAATCGCTAAATATTAAAAATTACAAAATAGCTGCGAAAAAAAAATATGACAATGAAAAAATTCGCAATTTCGGTACTTTTTCGCCTAAGTAAGGCTAAAATTGTTCAAATGCTTGATTTATTTCTTATTTCACTTATTAGAAGGGAGTGACTCTAAAAAAAAGCACTTTTTTAGTACATTGCCTTTGTAAAACAGAATGTAGCTGGTCCATTCTAAATACATATGTACATGCATCCTCCAAGCTAGATGTTCACATTGGGTCATCGATGATACCTATGTACATGTGGTACCTATATGCCGTCTTCATGATGCTGCGTAGCTCAAGCCTTCTTTCTGGCCTATTCAGGAAATACTTGGTTCTTTTGCTGACAGCATCCGCTGAGCTTTACTGAACCATTCAGTCTGTGAGTCGTCGGTGTAGAAAGTTTGTAGCGATTTCTACAAAATTGTGTCTGGATCTCTCAATTACTTCCTTGTATAAGAGTTAATGGCCATACTTTCGTCCAAAAGAGACTTAATAGAAATCGATATATGCTTCGCAAATATTTCCCAAAATTTAAGAGTTCAACAATATCCCAATTTATTGTGGCTATGTTAGCAAAAAAAAAAATTGCTAGGTTTTTTCCGGCGCACATTCCTTTCTCCGATCCACATTTCGGTACGCCTTTCGAACATATTTTCCACATACTTACCTCCAACACATTCCAGAAAAGGTAATCGATAAATTGCTACAGTCCTCCAGCCCACAGCCAGTACCCGAAGGCAATAAATCGCTCAACAATCACTACCGCAACTCGCCATCGAATGCCAGCAACATGACACGCAGTTCCTACGAAAGTTATAGCAACAGTTTCAAGCAAGCCTCCTCGAAACGTAACTACTTCGATCGATCTCACAGCCCAGCCGTATATGCTGTAAGCAATTATAATTTGTCAATTGAAATTTATCTAATCACATCCAATTTTGTAGAGCCTACGCCGTTTCTCGAACGAATGTTCCAGTTCGCCGCCAGTCTCCACACAGGGCGCTGGCTACTTCCCACATGATCTCGATGACATCTATGAATCGCAAGGCGATCATCAGTACTTCACCCATACAGGTGCGAGCAGTGCACGTACCCCAGAACGACCGAGCATCAATTCAATTTTCCATCGAGTGGGCGCCGCCTATACATCGCTGGACGATTATAATGCACAGACACGACACCACTCCATGGACAATGGCGGCTCGTCATATAAACAACGTTTTGATAATAGCAGCTTTGCGAAGAGTTTAAGCACCAATGAGGATAGCGATAATTCATTGCCGCGTAGCGAACATAAGAAATCAAAGCATCATCCCCATGGCCAGCATCATCATCATCATCATCACCATCATCATCATTCTATACAGGAGATGTTGAAGCAATTCTCCAAGAAAGTACATATTTGGCCACGCAAATCACATGACACCAACAGCGTTTGTACGTCGCCGCAAAATGATCCGCAAGAGAACTTCCGTTCGCGTTCGAAGAGTTTGGATGTGAATACGCTGAGTCGACCGAATCGGATATTGGAGGATTGTGATGCGACATACAAAATCTATGAGAAGATTGTGAAAGAAGGTAAATTTTTGAGATACAAACGGGCAAGAGGTGGAAGTGGTGGTGTAGAGTAAGTTGCGAAAAAAAAGCACGGAAGTGGTGTTACTGCTAGCTGACGTCAGCTGGAAAGCTAAACTTTGAAACTTTGCTTGTTCACGTTTTTGCTATCCACATTGATTGTGTAACTATGTTATCTACGTACATACATACGTACATACATACGTTCTTTTTACAGTACACTAAAATCGTTTACGATTTAACTTTTACTACTTTATTATGCCAAGCGGTTACTTGTTGTAATTTTAATTTAACACTACATGCTTTGAGTATAACTATTCATTCGCAAACTATTATAAAAATTTTAAATATTTTTATTTTCTAATATTCCATGCAATTAGGTGCTCACATGCGACGCGCTTCCGCCGATTTGGAGAAACGACGTGCTTCTTTGGGTGCAGCTAGTCGAGGCTTACGTGGAGACGGTACTTTGGATCCACATCATGCCGCCATATTATTCCGTGATTCCAGAGGGGTGAGTTGCAAAAACTATTTTTTGTTAAATGTTACTTTTAAAGAGCTTAAATAAGGTTTATGAAACATTTGATGCAGATGGTATTGTTGCAAAGAAGGGCGCATAGATATTACAGTTGTTCTACGTGCAAAATAAAGACATTCACCAAAATCTCTAAACATAAAAAAATTTAGGTTTGGCAATATTTAATATTTTCCTTTTTTTAACTCGCAAAAATTCAACAAAATTTTGACTTTGACCAGCTTTAACTAAGTGAGAATTTATGAAATTTCCAGTAAAAAAAAATCAGACCCTACTTTTTAAGTTTTGAAATTTTCGTGGATATCTTTATTTTGTGCGTAGCAAAAAAAAAGAGGATGTCCCTTACTAAGTTTAGATATTGATATTTTTAAGGACCTAATGCATCCTAGGATGGAGCGTAAAAATAAATTTTTCGATTTCGAAATTCCAATAGTGCAGAAAAGTTGCATACCCTGATCACATTGAACCGTTTTCCAATCGAATAATATTTACGGTAGCGCCAAGAGTCTTTGTTTAAAAGACTTTCTAGAAAGATTTTGTAGCCCATTAAATTTTAGTGTAATAAAGTGCAAGTTTCAAGATGCGTTGATTTTTGAAAAAAAACCCCGACTTGCACCTTTAAATAAAGAAACCATAATTTGGGGGATTTTCTGAAACTTTTAAGCCTTCGGAACGACCGTAAATATTATCCGATCGGTTCAATGTGATCATGTTATGCAACTTTTCCGCAGTATTAAGATTTTGTATACGAAAAATTTATTATTTTTTTTCGATCCACTCTAATGCACACCCTATACTACCAGTGCCACTTTTAATTTACACTCTCTTAAAATTTTCTGCTTCATAGTTTTTTGATGAATTTTCATCACTGTGCGAGATAATGGTAACTAGATACATATATTGTTTATACCCTTTCGAAAGAACAACCCAGAGCTTTTAAAAATTTTTGGTGCAAAAAAATTAATTTAAAAAATGAATGCAATTTTGTGCAAATTTTAAATGTAGCAAATATAGAACAACTCAAGAGCTTTTAAAATTTTTTGGTGGAAAACAAAATCATTTAGATAACCAATGCAATTTTTTTTTAATTCTGCAAAAAAATTACCATTTTATTCATATATGTCAATAGCTTTTCATCGAAAGGCAATAAACCCACAAAACCATACGCATACATATCTACATATGTATGGATGCTAATCATATTTACATATGTACATACATACATATAATCCCACTGTTTGAAAGACGCTTAAACATTCTTAATTTAATGCCCTCTTAGTACATATTGTATTAGTATGTAGATTGCAATGCTTGTATGTACATATATTGCAAATGGGTGAAAACTTGATTGCACAGATTCGCGGCACTTCAAACTAAATACCAGTGCCAAATGTTCACAGCCAAGGTCATTTTGGTTGGCGTCCACCCACAGGAGAAGTATGTATGTGGAAAGTAGGCAAAAACGAAAGTCTCAATATAGCGCAGAGAACAATCTCGTTAACCCGCCACCACTGTCACTACTCGCGATATAACTTTGCTTTTTTAATAAAATAAATATTTTCTCACTCACACAATTACACATGGGTGTACTCTCTCAAACGCCATATTTAGTTCGTCATGCTTTGTTTTTTATAGACTGTTTATACTTTTTTTTTATTTACATATACAAATACACATCGTCGTTTAAAGTACAAAACAGCGTAACTGACATTTGCTGCCAAAAATTGGATTTGCTCACACAAGCTCTTGGCTCAATCCTTATCCATTCGTTTACTAGTCTGAAATGCGATTGCTTTATTAAAAAGAGAACCATTCTAAAATATGAGTGTTTTTGCTGTCTAGAGAATAATTTATGCCACCTCACATACGCGGTTTTGCATTTTGTAGATACGCGGTTTTGTATTTTAAACGACGATATTGTATGTCTGTACGTGTGTCGTTAACATTTGGCATGTGCTTGCTATGGCGTCATTTGCAAGCTTAATTTTTGTAAAAAGCTATAGTGTTTTTTTCATCATTAAACTTTGGCAGGAAATAAACGTTTTGAGCTTTTGAAATTGCATTATAACAGGGTGGTGTGAAGCTTTTTAATTGATTTGCGTATTTATGTTGTTCGAAGCTTCGATTTCCGGCGGAAGTAATTTTTTGCATGGCTTTTTCTATTACATACATATTTAAACAAATTATTAAAAAAATTAAATATTTTTTTTTTTACAAACATTTTACAAATTTAGTGTTTATGCCATTTTGATTCCACAACTTACGCAACCTACAACCATTTGTCGGCTTTAATAAATTTCAGCACTTCGTGCAGAGGCAGGCAGGCAGCAGACACTCTGAATTATTCTGCAGTAATGGTTTGCCCAGTGTATTTAGCCTCATCATTGCGAGGGCTGGGCAATCGCACAAAGTATTCTACGGTCTCCTCTGATCCCGGTCCAGATAATTTCGTTTTTTTAATTTTATTTGGTGCATTCTTATTTTTAATTTTTACAATTGATGCCTTCAGAGCCAGAGTAGCCTTAGTGGCATTTAAAAATAAAATTTGGTACAGCTAAAAATACATTACTATAAAAAGTAGCATCAGTTAGCTGCAAATAATTTTGCAATAAAAGAACGTATTTATTATTTATAGAGCCTTCTTTCTCATATTACTAAAAAAAAATGTAGATAGGCCCATGTGGTTCTCATGGCCTCGATTCAGCTAAGTTTTAAATTTGGCTATTAGACCACAAATTACATTCACATACCCAATGTGCTCAACATTTCTAATAAACAAATAATCACTTCAAGATAAAGAATTTTCCATTAAGTTGCACATTACGAAATATGTACTCAACGGCGCATATTGTGCCCACACCTTTGAGCCCCCTTTGCAGCCGCACCTAATTTGGTTTTTATTTCTTCTATTGTTGGCAATTGTAATTAATAGAATTAATTTACTCATTTGAAAGCTGTGACTCAAGCGAAACATTATTACTAAATTTTTTAATGTCGAAATAAACGTAATTCAGAAGACTTTTTGCTACGGGAACTCCCATTTTATACAATTCTGCGCAACAGTATGAAATAACTACAAACCCACAAGATAGATAATTCAAAAAGAACTCTGGTGAAATGAAGCAAACTTTAGAAATATTTCAATATACATTGAAGACTTTTTTTCAGTTTTGTTTTGGCAAGCTTCCCTGGAATTCATTCACTTCACATACTTCAATTTTGTTTGAATAAATCGATTAAAAGGTCTGAAAATTTGCATGAAAATTTGCTGAATTTTCGCGAGTTTTGCACAAAGTTAAGAAATTATATTTTTATGTTTTTTGTTGTGGAATGAACCAGATTTAAAAAAAAAATTTACAGAAAAATATTACATAAAAATTCTGGCATATGTATATTTTAAAAAAGCAGCTGTGCCAATACTTTTTGCCGGCGGTGTACATATGTATGTACATAATTCTCACTTGATAAGAGATTCTATTTTATGCTTTTTATGCATGAAATTCTACTCTTTCACAATCGCAAGAAGCAGCCCACATTTGCCCTCTTTAAATTAATATACTAAATATACAAATTATATGCTATTTTAGTCAAATGCCTACGTGAGCAAGGCCTGCGTTTTCAAAATTTCTGCGCAGATTCACTAATTAGCAGCTAGCAAAAATAAACATTAACTGCAAATAAAATCATACTATGAAAGTAAAAAAAAAAAAATGTATGTCATTCTTGAGTCATACCAAGAAAACACGTCACGCCACAACACTCCACAGAAATGTTTAGTACCACTTACGAGTAAGTATTTGCATTTCTAATTCGTCTTAGTTCTAAGCAAGTAACAACATATGTATGTATGTACTGTGTTATATGTACATATGTAGTCCGCCACGGCAATGCTTTCGACCTTCATAATGGCTTAAGCTGATAGTAGAAATCGTTTAAATATTCGCATTATCGATGAGCAAGTACGAAAACGCCATAAGTTTCTTCGATTGCGGAGTGTTGCTTGTTGTCTATAACTACAAGTACATATGTATGTATGTATGTTAGCTGTACAATATTTACGCCTAAGTGGATATACATAATTAAATTTATTTAACCCCTCGCCTTTACCGCTTAAAACGTCTTCAGTGAATTAAGTTGGGTAAAACTCGGTCAGCTGGTATTTCATAGTCCTCTTTCATTGCACTTTTTTGTACTTATTCGCCTTCCAGTAATCTTTATCGCTCCGTTAAAGTGTGATATTAACATATTCCAGCTAGTTGGTAGCTATAATGAATTGTTTATATGGATATCTCATGGTGTTAGTTGAGTTGCAGTTGTAGTTGTACAGCGACCATCCATGCCTCTTTGCTCTTTCCTAGACTGTGTTTTGAGAATTTTTTATGGGCGTACATATGTATATACATACAGTGACGAACAAAAGTATTGGCACAGTGAATTTTTCGTAAAATGTATGCAAAGTTTTTTATTCTAATTTATTATCGAATTTTTTTTTATAAAAATATAGTCCATACTACTCCAAAAAACATTAATTCTCTAAACTTTGTGCAAAACTCAGGAAAATTTAATAAATACTAATTTTCAACTTTTCATTCAGATTTTCATAAAATTCAGATTTTTCATAAAATTTCTAAGTATGCAGTTTTATAGGCTATTCATTTTTAGAATAATAAAAAATTTTGAAGTTGCCAGAAAATCGATTTGTTTTTTTTTTTTATTTTTTGTATGGAGCAAATGAGTAACACCTTCCACTAAAAAATCTGAATTTTAGAGATTTTATTTTTATGTTTTTTGGTGTAGTATGAACTATAAATTTATAAAAATTTATCGAAAATAAATAAGAATAAAAAAACTTGCATATATTTTGCGAAAAATTCACTGTGCCAATACTTTTGTTCGTCACTGTATGTATTTCCAGTAGTTGGGTTAACTCACGCGCTCATTCCCCCAGTGGCTCGCTGGCTTGTTGATCACGCTGCTTG